GATATTAAATATTATTTTAACAAAAACAAAAAAGTGAATATCCATAGATTTAGTGTTTTGCAGGCAGCGGTATTACTTCAAAAGTATTAATTTAAATTCTTTGTGTAAACTTTATGGGATAGTGGGGAAAAAGCAGCCTCGTTTTTTCAAGGCACCTCATAAGTAGGATCAAGACCTGTTACTAAAAATTAATTGGTAAAAGTAAAAAAAAAAAAAAAATCTTCTAATTTTTTCAGTACTATAAAAATTGCCAAAATAAATATTTTGTGTCTTGGCATTGATGATCTTTGCTCTTATGTGTATCGCTGTATAAATCTTTATGTGTATCAATTATAGCTCTTATGTGTATCTTTGTTCCAATTACTATGTGTATCAATCCTCGCTCATATGTATATCAATTACCACTCTAATTAGTATTTTTATGATCCATGTAGAAAATTTAATGAAAAAAATAAATATAAATTGGATCGCAATGTAATACATATGAGAGGGAAGGAGAAAAACTTAGTAAACACCTGACAAAACAGTGAGAATTATGGGATTTAAAACATCAAAATAACTGCAATTGCACGATAAATTTTAAAAATATTTCTTAAAACTGCCTTTTATTTCTTAATTGTTTCCCAAATAAACAAAATCGCGTTTTGATATTTTCCTATATTCTGCATTCTGCACCACAGATTTCTAAAGCATTTTTCCTCTTTAAAACGCCAATAGAATCTTAGAGTCTTATTTCTGTCTAATATTAACCAACTTCATTAAATAGTTATNTTGCACGATAAATTTAAAAAATATTTCTTAAAACTGCCTTTTATTTCTTAATTGTTTCCCAAATAAACAAAAACGCGTTTTGATATTTTCTTTTATTCTGCATTCTGCACCACACATTTCTAAAGCATTTTTCCTCTTTAAAACACCAATAGAATCTTAGAGTCTTATTTCTGTCTAATATTAGTCTTAGAGTTTTATTCTGTCTTCTAATATTAACCCACTTCATTAAATAGTTATATGCTATCTTTTGTTAACTTTGTATGACTCATCCCTTTAATAGTGATCAGATGACATAAATGCATCATTAAGTTTAGAATTCTTGTTATATTGTATGTTAAATTAAAAAATATACACACAATGCTTCAGAAATTGATTTATAAATAACTATTTAATGCTTCTAGGGTTTTTCAAATTATCTTTCTTAAAAATTTTGCATTCTGAATATTATTTTTTTGAACATGCTAGTAATTTTTTTATTCTATAACCGTCGTTAAACTGCCGACCCAATTTTTCGGTTTACGACTACTGATGTTAAAATCCTTAGCCCTGTAATTGTGAACCCAATCCAGAAGACAAGGGAACTCCTTGACCAAGTATTGGGAGAAATGTTTCTTCGTTCAGGAGTTTTAGATGAAACTAACCCGCATTTGCTTTGCATGGAGAGAAAAATATTCAAAATCGCCAATAGTTAGCCTGAAATCGCCAATAGTTAGTTTACGTCAGCACAGTGGCTGGTACAAGCTGGATGCACAATTAGTATAGACCAGCCTTCGCTGGGACGCGAACTCGGTTCACTTCATTAGAAGACGATCGCTCTATTCCCTGAGCTATCAGGGCTCAACTTGTTAGTAAATGTAATTAATCCAAAATATTACATACTAAGTGTTATGTGCTGATAGAATTAACTAATTTATAAATGCAGCTCATATTAAACTATCGCGTTGTATCGAAATAATGATCAAAATTATTTTAGAAGTTTTTAATAAATACCACATTTACTTTCTGATTTAAAGGTCCAGTTCCATTGTTTTGTCTCCACAGTTTTAAGTAATCTGTACAGTTTGTGGTGTAAGGAAAGGGTAGTCTTACCACTTCATTCTATAAAGGAGAGATAATTTTTTTTTATGATTAATAATTTTTATTCACAAATGTGAGCACAATGGGGAGATATTTCGAGTTCCATTCTCACAATATTAAGAACAAAGTAACTTATGTTCAGAATCAATGATAACAAATGTAATATTTTTTTTTCTTTTAAATTCTCCCTCTAAATATGAACTCTGTTTTGCCCCATTTCTCACCGTTTCCTGGAGACACTCTATCACTTAAGTACCTCGCTTTACTGTAGCTTATTCGTAATTTTCTAAACTACTTTTTCCGTAGATGTGAGCAAAGATTAATTTTTTTTTGTTCCATCCTGACATTATACAGAAAAAGAAATTTGTATAATTGTAGGATTGCTCAACTCCGTAATCTTGTAATTTAGAACCCAATCCAGAAGACAATGAAATTTCTGGATTATGTATTGGGAGAAATTTTGCCTTTGTGGAGGACTTCTTTATGAAATTATCCCTCATTTGCGTCCGATGGAGATTAAAACCTTGAACACCTCCCACGGTTAGACTGATGGCAAGGATACTCTAACCCATGATCCGTCTACCACCGAAGATATTTGACGTCAGCGCTGTAGTTAGTGGAAGCCGTGTGCGGAATTCATAACGAACAGCCATCGCTGGATTTCGAACTTGGGTCTCTTCATTGGGGAGCGATCACTCTGTCCTTTAAGTCACCGTGCTAAATATACTTTTGTTATTTTTTATTTTATAACCGACGTATAGCAACAATCCCAAATCTGAATTTACGACTATGAATGTTCAACTCCGCCACCTTGTAATTTTGAGCACATAGCAGGAGCCAAGGAAACTCTCAGATCAAGCATTTTGAGACATTTTAATCTTCGTGGAGGAGTTTTTGATGGAACTGACCCTCATTTACGTTCAATAGAGAGATAAAACACGAAAACTTTCCACGATTAGCCAGACGGCCAGGTGACTGTAAACCATGTTAATATACTTTTTGTTCAGAAAATATTATTATAATTACACTCCTCTGTGTTTTTTTCTTTTAAATTCATTTCTCGTCCCGAATATAAACTTCATTTGGCCCATTATTCATCGTTTTTTGAAGACATGATGAGGGATAAACATAATGGTAGTTTTTCATTTTTTTTTAAATAGATGAATTTTATTTCTATGCACCTTGAACTTACCATAGACACAAAAAAAATGTACGATTTTCCTCCTTTAAGAGCAATTCCATTTTCGTAAGGATTCACTAAATGCCGGCGATTGTGGACTGCTGCATAATATTGAACTGGATCTGAATGTCTAAAATACTCTTCAGGATATGTGTGTAAGAGACGCTCGATATCTGCAAGATTTTTTTTAAATTAGCCTGACATTTGCTGAGGAAATAATATAAGTAGAAGTGGCAATGTGTAAAAAACATGCAATCAGTTTTTAGTAGAAAATATTTTTGTGATTAATTCCTTAGAATGATTTTGACAAAGAGCCTAAAAAGCAACGGTTTGTCTGTATAAACTCAATTTCAAAATATTACAAATTATATTCACTGTTTTAGAATATATAGTGTGTAATAGATACCTCTTTAATTACAAACTATGTATAATATCTTGCTGCAATAATTGTCGGGGTTTTTAAATGGACAAATAACATCAGAGTTGGCCTTCCCCCTCCCAAGGCTGGTGGGGACCATGCACAAATTTAAAAATTCTGCTATAAGATTTCTGCTAGCGACAAAAATACGTATAAATATCTAATGATCATATAAAAGATGTGAAATAAAAGATTTAAAAGGTATGAAATGTAAAAAAAAGTCCTATCCGAAAACTTTAATCTGATTTTTGTATCTAAATTAATTTTAAAATATTATATAAGTAATTCTTAAATATACAATGACCTATTCTAATTTTAGGCAGCTAAAACAGTGGCAGTACTGAACTTAATCCAAATATTTATAGATTTTTTAAATTTTCTTAAAATTTTGGACGTTGAAAAGTAACTTTTATTTTATTTCATATAATTCAATAATTTTGCTTGTGCAATTTTAACAGTAGACCAATGGGAAAAACATATTTTAACTTTTCCCTTTGCTCACAATTGTGAAGGGCACACTAAACTCCTCTGCTCTAGTCTTATATATTTGAAACTTGTAGGAAATTTCTACTTAAGTTGACTATATCGCTTTGTTTATAGCGTTTACACAATACTAGTACATTTTTCTTCTACTGTGATTTTCCTTCTTTCTGCAACTTTGCTCAGATAATTAGCATCCATTATTAAGGAATTTGAAACGAGAGCATTAACTTACGATAATCAGTTGAAACCTTCTCGTCTTCAGAGTTCGGTTCATATAGTTGAGATTCTATAGTTAAGCAGAACGTAGGTCTGCTATTAATCACAAAAGGAAATCTGCGATAGCTAAAAAAAAAGAGAGAAAAATTTTATATATNTAAAAAAATTTAATTTGAAATAAAGCTGTTTACAAATTTCCTCAAAGTGTACCTACATACATTACATCTCGTTTTTGGTTTCATTTTTCGAACAATGCGTTCTAGCGAACAATGTGTGTAACTTCTCAAAATGTTCCTCAGCTCCCTCATGGTTTGTAAAAAAAATTCGTATGACATTTATTGCATTGAAGGCTTCCGCTTGGGTTACAGCTACAGTCTGGGGGTCATTGTCCTCACTGTGAAACAATTTCTGAAATTGAGCTTGTTTGTTGGTTGCAACATTTTCATAGAACTCGAGAGGGGTAATTGCCTTGTAAAGAAGTTAAATAGGCTTTTGTCAGGAAAGAGCTCCCCTCGCCTCAGATAAAAATGACCTTATAAGCGATAACGATTTTTAAAACTTGACCATATATCCGATAATCTGTAACAAAAAATTTCCAATTCAGTGAGCCGGGACTTTGGAAAAGTGACCTTATATTCGGATAACCTTATTATATTTGACAGTATAATCATAAGCACTCATTAAAAATTAGTTTAAAAACATGAGATATCGTGCTTAACGTGATGCTAAAACTAAACTCAGTGGCGCGACAGCCCATAGAGGGCCAAGGCCTACTGTGCCCATCTCAGTTTTCTTGACCTTGGGCTCTGGGGTGCAGGAGCAGATGTTCCGGTCAGGTGGTCTGCCGAACGCGGAACCCCCAGTGTTTAGTTCCCAAGCATGCTTGGTACTCATTTATCGACCCACTGAAGGGATGAAAGGCTGAGTCAACCTTTCCCGGCCCGAGGATCGAACGGACCTATGGCACGATAGCGCTGCAGCTCTGCCTCCGGGCATCTTTTATATATATATATATATATATATATGCAAAGAATATTATGAAGAATAATTTTTATTTTAGCATAATTATTCTTTATTCAGAAATATCGCATTTAATTATAGTAAATGATGTGTCCTGATGAAGAACTGATATGAATTTGAATTTAAATATTTTAAATAAGTCAATGCAAGCACTAACTTATTTGTTTAAAACAAAATTACGCAATAAATAAATAAGAGAAAGAGACTTAAATGCTCCAACGGTCACTGAAGAAGAAAGAAAGCAGTACGTACACGCAACGCTGATATATTTCTGAAACTCTGAAACTCTTCCGACATCCAATAAGATCCTTTTCTTTGGTTGGATTAAGTTCATTCGCAAGCTCCCAATCACGAAACCGATCGCTGAAGATGTAATCTGAAAGAGTGTCACGGTTTGGAAGCTGCAAAATTTCAAAATAATTATGTCAAAGTTCAAAAAGGTCTAACGGTTTAATTTGATCACACTTAATATAAAGTTTTAGAATCCTTACAAATAATTATGTATGAAAAAAGTATACACATCGGAATTCGCAAATAAATATTAAAGGGGCAAAAAAATAATTACTAAAATTAAATGAATCACTAATGGAGAAGGTGAAACTGGAAACCCTATATGATTGTCGGTAGAAAAAGTAACATGTTTAAAGATGAGAAACACTGAGTATCATAATATATATATATATATATATATATATAGTATTGATAAAGATTCTAAAAAAATAAATTAATAAATTCTAAAAATAAATAATTAAAATAAACTTTAAGTGTTATTAAAAAAATAACTTCGGTATTCTATTGTGGATTCAATTCTTCTACATTTTCGCATGTTTCAAAAAAGCTCGAATTCCTAGAAATTTTTAGGAAGAAAAATTTAAAAAATTGTGCATGTTTGTGCAAGTCTTGCCTGTACACACGTGAGCATGCTCATTTACTTTCCAATTTTAGCAAGAAAGTATATATTTTCATTACACCTAGTTTTACGTTACAGTATACACATAGTTTTTTTTTTTTTTTTTTTGAAAAAAAAAGTTATTAAAATAATTATAAGGGAACTGGAAGATTTATGATTAGAGGTTACACACAGACTCATTTGGTACGTTTGTAAATAAAATAAGCAATGTAAGAGAAGTAAGTATCTGGTTTATCAAATTAAAATGCCTGTTGTGAAAATTTTGTATTCTCTCAACATTTGTACTATAATAATGCATTTTTTAAACAAATTATTTCCCCCCCCCATCTCCTACTAGATGTCTATATTTGCATGAGTGACACAAAGCAACAACTCAACATTTTTGTTTAATGTAACATACTATCTGAAAGTGCTGGTTTTGGCAAGTGTTTTAATAAATCTCATAAAATTGGAAAATTGCAGGAAAACTTTATAATTATTAAAACTGTCGCGTAACAGTTGACCCAATTTTGAGTTTACGACTACCAATTTTCAAATCATTAGCCTTGTAATTTTGAAACCATTTCGGAAGACAAGGGAACCTCTTGTATCAGATATCATGGAAAATTAGCCATCGTGGAGAATTTTTTTAATGGAACTAACCCGCATTTGCTTTATCTGAAGAGGAAAGCAACGAAACCCTCACACGGTTAGACTGACGGAAAGGAAACTCTAACTCATAATCCGTCTACCACTCAGGATATTTTATGTCAGCACTGTGGCCATTGAGAGCCAGGTGAGAAGCCAGTCATCTCTGAAATTTGAACCTAGGTCACCTCATTGGAAGGCTCGACCTCTGAGCCACCACGACTCAGGGATTCCAGTATGATGGAATTTATGAGATCATATTGTCTTGTCTATGTTTAAGTTGACTAACTAAATTAAAATGTTTGTTCTCAATTTGCTCTTCATCTTTATCCATGGTTATAACTTAATTGTAACACCGTTTTCCAATAGTTTATCCAACAATTTTACGCACTCTTAGGACACTTTATGATGTCATTAGCACAGTGAATCTATGCTTCTAATATTTCAACATCAAATAATCCTTTCAATATGCATAATAAGCCTATACAGGTGCAAGAACCGCCCTACCATGTAAAGGAAAGCAGAGCCATCTATGCACACCACTCAACCATGTGAAGGAGAGCAGAGCCATCTATGTACCCACATAGCAGAAGGAGAGGTGTTTTGACTTTTCCTTCTAAGAAGATGGCAACTGATTAAATAAGGGTTCTGGCCGTTACTTTTAGGCGGCAGAAGTAGTTCGAAGGTTGTAGGGTAGTGTGAGGAGGCTTCGGCCCCCAAGCTCTTGAATATTTTGCTTCGAGAAAGAGAGAGAATGGCGTGCTAGGTGATTGTGGTGGTAGTTTTCTTAATGATCGGAAATCATCCGAAGTTTAGTGTTTTAGACGCAGATTTAATGTNTAGTAACACAGAAGTTTGGATATTCGCTGCAGAATTGTGTATTGTTGTAATCGTCATAACATTCATCTGGGTATTTTTCACAGTAAGTAGCACGATTCATGCTGAAAGAAGAACCAATAAATATTTTTCCCGCCGTTAAATCAGACAACTTTGTCACCCTGAATACTTTAGCTAGGATTTTAAAATGTGATTTTTCAGTCTAAACCATTGTTTCTCAACGGGGGCGATACCGCCCCCTGGGGGCGTTGGGAGTATACTGACGGGCGGTGAACTTGCTTTGGGCGATAGGGGGGCGTTGGGTATGTTTTGGGTGGTAGGGGGGATGAGCATGTTTTGGGCGGTAGGGGTGATGAGCATGTTTTGGGCGGTAGGGGTGATGAGCATGNCTAATTAATTATTCAAATCGAAATGCTTTCTCACACTTTTAAAAGCCACATTAATAATTAAATAAAAAGATTAAGTTAATAAAATAAATTAATATTATCCGATACACCTTTTGTACCACCAATAAAACTAACTTATACGACACCTATTTTCCGAACCAACGCAGCGCATTAGTCAGTATTTTTTTCCTCTGATTTATTCCAGCTATTTCGCGAATCACTCTGACTCATTCAAGCCATTTGGCAGAAATCGAAGTGCATGAGCTTTCGGTATGAATGCCGTGTTTCATATTTTCGTTACCTTCTTTACAGTTTCTTCCCCAGTTTCGATTCGATCTCATTATTTATTTGGCCAGGTATGTACGCGAATTAGTACTTTACCTTAAATTATTTATTAATTTGGAGAAATAGTTGATTTTCTTTCATCGTTTGTATTTTGCTGCCACCAACAATGTCGGTAAACAAAAAGAAGTGTCACCACGTACTTGAAGTCAGTATTTGTTCAA